GGTATTGATAGAACCTCATCTGGGCCTCCTTTGAAATTTACCTATGCTAGGAGGGGTAAAATAGGGAAGAAGGGAAGTGACGTGGACAATCCTAGCATGGATGCTGAGATGGCAATTCCATTAGGGGAATTGGTTGGAAAAGGAATATAGGGGAGGGTACGTGCGCGAGGGGGGGATATCGAATCCTATGAAAACTTGGCTAGCCTAGGGAGGAAGAGAGACCTCGAATACTCTCAGAATCTTTCTTTCGTTTTCTTTTCAAGCTGTGTTAGTCCATCTTTTCTGTAATTCTGGAATTAAGAAGTTTTGATTAATAAAAGGAACCAGAACCCATATTTCTGGAAGTTTTCATTCAGTTTTCAAGTTATTTAGCTTAAATTCGGGAAGAACAGGCTAGGTACCTATCAAATTTAGAGGAAATGCTGAACTACAATAAAACATTGAAGGGATAAGGGATAAGGGATTACCATATGTTTGAGGTTGCAACCAAGAGTCAATTCTGCGAACGAACTTTCAATTCGAGACAAGAAACAGTATGGCGCCTCCTTTCCCAAGAATACCTTGGAGTGTGATCTTAGCATGCCGTTAATGTCGTTTGCTATCTCGGGAACCTTGTCCAAATCATTAATCTGCAGGGGAATTTTGGTGATAATGGCACGCCACTCGGCACGTGACTTGTTCACAATTACCTACATGTTTTTTACATAAGAGGAGAAACGCTTAGGGACACCGTCATAAATATATACGACTTCTCACAGTAAATTAATTAATGAATCAGTCAAATGAACCAAGTTTTCACGGTACACAATCAAGATAGCAACATCAAGTGATCTTATTAGTAGAATTCATTACCTTTCCATCACTAATTGCAAAAAAGTTACAACTTACAAAGTACAATAGAAGTGTAAAGTCATTCTGTCTTGTACAAGATCAAAATATACATACATATATATATATATGTCAAAAGTTTGCTATTTAATAGAATAAATCAAATATGTTATAAATTAGAGGGTTCAAGAACCATAAAAGCAAAGTCGATAAATAACAGCGCAAAGAAATCAATGTGGAGAGAAAACAATTCTATCAATTTTAGCTCAATCTTATCTTTCTTTTTCTTCTTACTTACACCTCTCCATCCCCATTCATTCCTCCCTCTTGCTCCTCTACATACTCTTCTTTCTTCTTGTGTCTTTGTTGAAATCAGAACAACCTTCAACAAAAGGGTACTTGTACCTAAAACCGACACAAGTGGGTAAGTAGGGAATATCTAAGACCCAAGACAACTCCCTCTAAGGAACTCACCAAGATAGATAGATAGATAGATAGATAGATGAGAGATTGAGACTTCCTTCGAATCTTGTTAAGCGATTAAGTTGAAAGGTTCTTTTCCATTCTCTTGCACCACAGGCCTTTACTTATCCTCTCAAACGATTAGATGAGCTTTAATTCGCAACAGGTTTAAAACCTTTAAGCGTTAAGTAGCAGAATGACATCCACAACTTTCATAACAAAAGAGTATATTTACCTCAATCTTAATTCTTAAGTTACAGATTTACATATGTGACAGAATGGAAAATAAAGAATCCTACTACAGATCCATTTAATTTATAAATAAGCGCAGCTAGAGTTCAAGTTTAACGAAAGCCAAGTGTAAGGATTTTCTTGCTATGAAATGGTCAGTGCAGAAACTGTGAAAGAAATGCCCAAAAAGAAAATTAGTACCCACCTGACTAGAAAACAGTGAATTTGGGACTATGACAGGAAATTTCTCAGCATTCAGTAATGAAGTGGTTGTAAGACCCATTTCCACCACCTGACCTTCTATAGATCCTGCCTGTAATAGTAATTACATTATCAAGAAAAGGAGTATAAAAAGAAGCAAATGTTAATGCTGGATATCGGTACATCACAAATTCCCACTACAATTGAGTCACAAAGATGAATTTAAGGTATAGAGTCCAATGCATCACAAAACACTTTTTTTTATTATGGAACTACTAACAGATATTCAGTGGATAATCTTAGCACCCAATGTGTATCCCTAAATAAACTCATTTCTAAATTATTCAACCATTTCATGTTTCCAAGTTCAATGATAGTCCGATTAGTCAACATTTACATATCTCGATGCCTAATTATATAGATAAATGTCTTAAATGGCTTAAAATCAGGAGACTGCAATAAACTAATTAGATTTCACGGATAACTAAAATATTTACTTATCCATCGTTGGTAATACGAAGGCAGACTTCCAAATATTGGGGGGCATATTCACTTACTACAATCAGAGCACAACTGCGCTTCCTAGACATCTTTAGCAAATAAACAGGAATAAAAGATGCATGGCATACTTTTATTGTATCTCCTAGTGAGAAGGGCTTTGAAAACTGCATAGACAAACCGCTCAGCACATTTCCGAGAATGTCTCTAGCAGCAAAAGCAGTAGCAACTCCTGCATCGAAGTCCAAGTAGAACAGATCAGGCTTTTACCAATATGCGGCTTAGCACTTGGAAAAAATCAAGCAAGGACCACGCCATCCACAGAAGACTTGTAAGAAATTTCAGACATGGGTGACAATTAAACCAGTATAATTAAAATCAAGAGGTCAAATATCAGGTGTTTAAATAATGTATAATTTTGTTAGTTTTAAAATATACAATTCAAGTGGAAAAGCTATGCTTATTGACGAAATTATAGAGAACAAGTTTTTCACGAAATGTAGGCCAAAGGACTGAATTATAGAAGTGGTGAAGAATTCATTGTGGTGAAGAATTCATTAAGTTAACTTCTACTGTGAGCCCGTAAATCAAGATCTTTAAATCAGGCAAAATAAACAACGTAAAACACAATGAAAACTGACAAGATTTTGATAAGTAACAATTATATTTGCAGCAGGGCTCCTCCGATGTAAAGAACATGAGAGATGAAACAGCAGAAATAACAAGCAGATGATACCGACCTCCTATGCCACCAACTGTGAGAATAGATTGAACAGCCACTCCACATGCTTCTGCTAAAGCCATTATCCCAATCACGATCAGGCCAACCGATGAAATTTTATCAAGAGCTAGCAACTTCTCGCGATCAAGGCCTGCCACACTAGAACCAAGCAATGCACGAGAAAACACATTTGTTTTCCAGCGATGCAGGAACCAAACAAATGAAAGTATGACAGCACCCGTCCATGCTTGCGAAAGATACTGAGATGCAATAGTAGTTGGTGCCACCATCGTGCCACTGCAAATCAAAGACATCTTCACCGCGTCATGCAATTAATTGCATATGTATAGAAAACCAAATTAAAAGATGATGGAGGGGCTAAATTGTACATGAAACCAAACCACTAACATTTGTGTAAATGCCATGAAGGTAATTAGATATCTCAATGGATCCTCTAAAGCACCCCAAAAGCTTTTCTCATATGGCACTTCTTCTCCAGCCATGCTTCCAGATAATAAAGCAGCTTGACCTTGTGATGCATACTTGTGAAATCTCCTCAACACCCTAGGCATCACAAACCAAGCCAATACAGTACCAGTAAACGTAACACTAACTGGAACGACAACATTTTTAATATACGGGTGTGAATCCAAAAACTGTTCGACATGAGGAGACAGTTCAGCTGAAGCTTCCTTAGCTTTCTGCCCTGTGTGAGTCGCTGCATCTACTGCACTTTGCCAAAGATCCTTAATCTTTTCAGGCCAATCATTTTCACCACCACTATCAGAAACATTTACTCCACTCGCACCAAATGATGCTGTGACTGAGTCCGCACTTTTACCGGCATTGCCACCCGAAGATGATGAATATGAGCAATTGTTTGAAAGCGGGTTCACGGATACAAGAGGAATAGCTCTCCTAAACAGAGAGTTTGATGATGTTGGTGAAAACAAATAATTGGGTCTGGTTGTATAACATCTGATCACAATAGGAGACTCTGAACCCAATACTTTTGCACTAGTATTTCCAACATTGACAAAGGGTTTTGTTTCTTTCACTTTGTAATTGCGATTTACGTATGCATATAATGACCTTAAATGTATTCCATCAGGGCAGTTTACGGATTTCACATAGCAGTTAGCTGATCGAAATGCTTGCGGTTTCGGAGAGAGACTGATACAAAGTGATTTCAATATGGAGAACCTTAATCCAGCCATTATAGCAACATAACATTTGAAAAGAGGCTACAAAGACTTTGTTTACAGATTGCTCTTGGACACTTTATCTGAAACTCTGAAAAATAAACCCCACAAATCACTAGCAATTGAAAACACTATAGAACCCAATTCACTGAAATCAAAATTAAGTTTATAATCAGACTTCCAAGCTATGCAAATATGCATAAAGCAAAACCCCTTGATCGGATGCTGTGGAAAAAATAAATAAATAAAACAGACATTGAATTTTACATTCTCTTGCAATTAAAAGATCAACTAGTGGAATTTAAGCAAGCGAAATGCGTAACTCCGGTTTGAAAGGAAGAAATACATACATTCCACAAAGAGAACCGGTTCTAAATTTTATACTTCTGTTTCTCTCTTCTTTTAATTTTTCATTACTTGCCTTGTGTTTTCTCGGCGACCAAACACAAAATCAAGTAGTAGGTTATGGAAAGATACCTGTTATAGTTGAAATGGGGATTTACGAGAGCTTCAGTTCTCCAACATGATATATTCTTCGCTTGATTTGAAGGGGAAAAAAAAAAAAAGGCCGCTAAAGGACTTCTCATTTCACATATGAGTAAATTGCAACAAAAAAAAAAAAAAAAAAAAAAAAAATTTACCGGTCTCAAAAATGTAAGGACGGTGTTTCTAAAATTTTACAATTTTGACGTTATTTTTATTTTATTTTAATTTTTAATGAAAAAAATAAGAAATATTATAAAAAATAAAATATTTATTAAAAAATAATGTGGTTTGTTTCATTAATTTTTAAAATTTATTATTAATTTTAAAATTTAAAACATAAATAAAAATGTTAATTTTTGACTCATTCTAGTCTTTCTCACTGTGCGGGTTGCATACTTTTTGCTAACGTTTTTTTTTTTGTAATGTTTGGTAGATGGATTCGTTCTCTGATTCGAATCATGGTTCGTGATTCGCTATAGTATTTTCTCTCACAAAAAATACACGTAAATCAAAAATGATTCTAATCACATGGTTCTAATCCATGAACCAAACGCACAAGGACTTTTTTGCAGGCATGTTTAGAAATATGTAAGGATCATGTCTAAAATTTTATAACTTTTTGACGTCATTTTTATTTTATTTTAATTTTTAAAGATGAAAAATAGATAAAATCATAAAAAAATAAAATATTCATAAAACAATAGTGTTGTTTGTTGCATTAATTTTTAAAAATCATGTATTGATTTTATAATGTAAAAACACAAATAAAACTGTTAATGTTTGACTCATCCTGGCCCTTGGGCGCCCCATTGCACAGGCCGGGTGCTTTTTGGCAATGTTTGCTTTTTTCATAATTCGATGCCATTTTTTACAAGTATGCTCAGAAAAATGTAATAATCGTGTTTGTAAAATTTTAGAACATTTCGACGTCATCTTTAATTTATTTTAGTTTTCAAAAATGAAAAATATGAAAAATCATAAAAAAAAATAGAATATTTATCAAAAAATAGTGCCACTTATTGCATTAATTCCTAAAAATGTTAATGTTTGACTCAGCTTGGGCCTAGGCGCCCCACTACGCGGGCTAGGTGCTTTTTGGCAATCATTGCTTTTTACATAATTTGAGACCATTTTTTGCTGGCATGTTCAGAAAAATGTAAGGATCGTGTCTGCAAAATATAAGAATTTTTTGACGTCATTTTTATTTTATTTTAATTTTCAAAGACAAAAAATATAGAAAATCATAAAAAAAAATAAAAATATTCATCAAAATATAGTGTCGTTTGTTGCATTAATTCCTAAATATCATGTATTAATTTTAGAATGTAAAAAAATAAATAAAAATGTTAATGTCTGACTCATCCTGGCCCCGGGCGCCCCACTACACAGGCCAGGTGCTTTTTCACAACGTTTGCTTTTTTCATAATTCGATGCCATTTTTTGCAACCATGCTTAGAAAAATCTAAGGATCGTGTCTGCAAACTTTTAGAACTTTTTGACGTCGTTTTTATTTTATTTTAATTTTTAAATACAAAAAATATGAAAAATCATAAAAAATAGAACATTTATCAAAAAATGTGGCCACTTGTTGCATTAATTCCTAAAATTCATGTACTAATTTTAGATTGTAAAACATAAATAAAAATGTTAATGTTTGACTTGTCCTGGCCTCTGGGCGCCCCATTGTGCAGGTCAGGTGCTTTTTGACAGCGTTTTCTTTTTTCATAATTTGAGGCCATTTTTTGCTGGTATGCTTCAAAAAATGTAAGGATGGTGTATGCAAAATTTCGGAATTTTTTGACGTCATTTTTTTTCTTTTAATTTTTAAATACAAAAATAGAGAAAATCATAAAAAATAGAATATTCATCAAAAAATAGTGCCGCTTGTTGCATTAACTCTTAAAAATCATGTATTTAACTTTATAATGTAAAACATAAATAAAAATGTTAATATTTGACTCATCTTAACCCCTGGGTACCCCACTGCATGGGCAGGGTGCTTTTGACATCGCTTGCTTTTTTCATAATTCGAGGTCATTTTTTGCAAGCATGTTCAAAAAAAATGTAAGGATCGTGTCTGTAAAATTTTAATACTTTTTGACATCATTTTTATTTTATTTTAATTTAATTTTCAAAGACGAAAAATAGAGAAAATCATAAAAAAATATAATATTCATCAAAAAATGGCGCCGCTTGCTACATTAATTCCTAAAAATCATGTATTAATTTTATAATATAAAACATAAATAAAGATGTTAATGTTTGACTCATCCTGGCCCCTGAGCGCCCCAATGCGCAGGCCGGGTGCTTTTTGGCAGTGTTTGCTTTTTTCATAATTTAAGGTCATTTTTTGCAAACATGCTCATAAAAATGTAAAGATCATGTCTGTAAAATTTTCAAACTTTTTTACGTCGATTTTGTTTTATTTTAATTTTCAAAGATAAAAAATATATAAAATCATAAAAAATAGAATATTCATCATAAAAACAATGCCGCTTGATGCATTAATTCCTAAAAATCATGTTTTAAATTTAGAATGTAAAACATAAATAAAAATGTTAATGTTTGACTCATCATGGCCTCTGTGCGCCCCATTGCGCGGGCCGGGTGCTTTTTGGCAGCGTTTTTTTCATAATTCGTTGCCATTTTTTACTGGCATGCTCAAAAAAAAGTAACGATTGTGTCTGCAAAATTGTAGAATTTTTTGACGTCGTTTTTATTTTTTATTTTTTGAAATACGAAAAATAAAGAAAATCATAAAAAATAGAATATTCGTCAAAAAATGGTGCCGCTTGTTGCATTAATTCCTAAAAATCATGTATTAATTTTAGAACATAAACATAAATAAAAATGTTAATGTTTGACTCATCCTAGCTCCTGGGCGCCACACTGCGTGAGCCGGGTGCTTTTTGACTGCGTTTTCTTTTTTCATAATTCGAGGCCAGTTTTTGCAGGCATGCTCAGAAAAATGTGAATATCGTGTCTGTAAAATTTTAGAACTTTTTTGTGGTCTTTTTTATTTTATTTTAATTTTCAAAGATGAAAAATAAGGAAAATCATAAAAATAAAATATTCATCAAAAAATGGTGACACTTGTTGCATTAATTTCTAAAAATCATTTATTAATTTTAGAATGTAAAATATAAATAAAAATGTTAATGTTTGACTCATCCTTGCCCCTGGGCATCCCACTACGCGGGCTGGGTGCTTTTTGGCAGCGTTTGCTTTTTACATAATTTGCGTTTGCTTTTTTCATAATTCGAGGCCATTTTTTGCGAGCATGCTCAGAAAAATGTAAGGATCGTGTCTGCAAGATTTTAGAACTTTTTTACGTCATTTTTTTTTATTTTAACTTTCAAATACGAAAAATATTGAAAATCATAAAAATAGAATATTCATCAAAAAATGGTGCCGCTTGTTGCATTAATCCTGAAAAATTATTTATAAATTTTAGAATGTAAAACATAAATAAAAATGTTAATGTTTGACTCATCCTCGCCCCTGGGCGCCCCACTGCGCGGGCCGGAAGCTTTTTGACAGCGTTTTTTTTTCATAATTCGAGGCCATTTTTTTCTGGTGTGCTCCGAAAAATGTAAGGATCGTGTCTGCAAAATTTCAGTATTTTTTTATGTCATTTTTATTTTATTTTATTTTTACAACACGAAAAATAGAGAAAAAAAATAGAATATTCATCAAAAAATGGTGCCGCTTGTTACATTAATTCCTAAAAATCATGTATTAATTTTAGAATGTAAAATATAAATAAAAATATTAATGTTGGACTCATCCTTGCTCCTGGGCACCCCACTATGCTGGTCGGGTGGTTTTTGGCAGCATTTTTTTTTTCATAATTCAATGTCATTTTTTCGAGGCATGCTCAAAAAATGTATGTATTGTGTCTGTAAAGTTTTAGAACTTTTTGAGGGTCGTTTTTATTTTATTTTAAATTTTAAATATGATAAACAGGGAAAATCATAAAAAAAATAGAATATTCATTAAAAAATGGTGTCGCTTGTTACATTAATTCTTAAAAATCATGTATTAATTTTAGAATATAAACCATAAATAAAAATGTTAATTTTTGACTCATCTTGGCCCCTGGGCACCCCAATGCGCAGGTCGGGTGCTTTTTGGCAACGTTTGATTTTTTCATAATTTGAGCCCATTTTTTACAAGTCTGCTCAGAAAAATATAAGGATCCTGTTTGGAAAATTTTAGAACTTTCTCATGTCATTTTTATTTTATTTTATTTTTTAAATATGAAAAATACAGAAAATCACAAAACATAGAATATTCATCAAAAAATAATGCCGCTTGTGGCATTAATTCTTAAAAATCTTGTATTAATTTTATAATGTAGAACATAAATAAAAATATTAATGTTTGACAAATCCTGGCCCCTAAGCACCCTACTGCGTGGGCCGCATGCTTTTTGGCAGCGTTTGTTTTTTCGTAATTCGAGGTCATTTTTTGCAAGCATGCTCAGAAAAATATAAGGATTGTTTATACAAAATTTTAGAACTTTTTGACGTCATTTTTAAATTATTTTAATTTTTAAAGATGAAAAATACAGAAAATCATAAAAAATAGAATATTCATCAAAAAATGGTGCCACTTGCTGCATTAATTGCTAAAAATATTGTATTAATTTTATAATATAAAACATAAATAAAGATGTTAATGTTTGACTCATGCTGGCCCCTAAGCGCCCCAATGCGTAGGCCGGGTACTTTTTGGCAGCGTTTTCTTTTTTCATAATTTGAGGCCATTTTTGTTAGTATGCTTAGAATTAAATTTGTATTAAATACTATTTGTTTTGTATATTTTTTAATTTAAAGTGATTTTAATTAAATCTAATTGTCATAAATTGACACTATAGATAAGATTGTCCTATTAGAAAAACCATTATTTCTCCATCCAAACTGTTTATTTTTTTAGGGATAAAA